AATTTGAAGAATGCGAGTTGAAAAACAGTGTCTCCTCCAACAGAGAGAAGAAAAAGGGATCAAACTCCTCAGGATTAATTAGACGAACTCGGACATCAGAGTCATTAAAAAAATTTTATACTATCCAATCTACTTTATAATACGAGTTCCTACCCTCATTTTATTTTCTAAATTATAATTTCCATAACAAGACTCCTTATACCCTAAAGGTGGATGTGATTTTGTTCTTTCTTGAAGAGGGTATCTTAAAATACTGTACGAGTATGTTAAGTTCCATTTCCAAATTATTAGTGCAAATTTATGCACATTCAAAATCAGAACAATATACCTTGTTCAATTCAAATGGTAAAATTTGAAATTTTGGACGAGAAAATTTGGGCGTTGAAGATTGAAGAACCAATAAAAAGATGTCCTTTCGTGTTCTTTAAATTAAGTTTATAGTGTAAACATATAAAAAATAGGTTAATTGGTTCATGCACGCCAAAATCGAAACCAACTCAGAACCTATTCATTCTTAGTTCTAAGAACTAAAACCATTTAAATTTAAGTGGACCAATTCATTTCGATTTCGACTCGGTTCAGTTACTCCATGTTATTTTGCACGCATCTAAATGGGTGATGCTACACGTACATAATGCGGTATTCACAATGGTGTCCATTGCTTTACATGGAAGGAGACTCATTTCGAATAAAATACAGTGGATCCCCTCCATGTCAGTGGGTGGACACCGTTATGGACACTGCATTATGTACAAATAACATATTCACATCTTAAATTACCCCAATGAAAGAAAGTATAAGAAAAAAATTTAACACCCAAAATTGCAATTAATCCTCGCACGAATTGCGGGGCTCTATCTTACGAGGCCCCTGTTTGATCCACATTATTTTTCTCATTCTTATTCTTTTACTCATTTTCAACCCTACATTTTTCAATAAAATAATATTTTCATCACATTAATAACTATTCCTTATTTTTCAACCATATATACCTCCTCACATCAACAATAAAAATGCATTTTTATTCTCAAAATGTGCGCCAAACTGGAGTAGCTAAACAAAAAAGATACATATATGTTGGGGAGTTCGTAATGGCACATGACACTCCATCTTGCACGGTCATATTATTATGGGTCGTGCTATTCGTACACGGGCG